AAAATACCGAAATAGAGACATTTAGGAAAGGGGGCATGGGTTTTAACATTGCATTCTATTGCCCTCCCTTGATCAATGAAGAATTTTTCTTTTATGGAGCACGAAATGTGACTTCTTTTCTAATAGTCTTTTTCAATTTTAAGTTAAAGTATTCAGAGACTATTTAAGCCTCAAGGCTATTAAAGTTTAAAATGCATATTCAAGAAGTGCATGTTCTCAGTGGGGATGTAAGTGTGTTCTCACACTAGAGAACCGTGTGAGACAGCAGAAGATCAGATGTCCACGTGTGTGACATGGGAATAAATGCAGATGAGTGGCCCCTGGAAGCAGGGAGGCTCACAGCAGGGACAATGGTGCAAGTCATCTTGGACTGGATGGTTCAGTGAGATGAAGGTGGTGGAAATAGTAACTGAGGGGAGATGAGGTTCTGCAAGGTTCAGGGCAGCCTCAGTTTCCTGCCACCCCCAGCAGGAGGCCAGCAGTGGTGGAGTGCTTCAGGTAGGGCAGTTCTAGTCTCTGGGTTGCTCCATTGGAAATTTGTCTTCTATCTGGTGTTTTTCAGACTGCCTGTTGTGACCATTTGTAGGTCATAAAATCTACTTAGTGGGTCAAAAACTAGTATTTTAAAAAAAATAATGGAATAGAATAAAATAGACCAAAACATTTCATAGTGCAGTGCATATTGTAAGGATTAGAATTTCTTCGTGAAACTTCTGATTTATTTATGTATATACTGTATATACAAAGGCAGCTATCCTTCTGTAAAATATCTTAGTTTATGGTCTGAAAAGTTCAAGGCAGTGCTCTAAAGGATCTTTATTCATTAGGTTGTTTTGTTTTAAAGAACAACTTTATTTTTGTTAAAGAAAGATGAATGTTCATTAGATAAACAATCTCTCTCTATATGTAATTGTAGAGGAGAAGAAAGCAAAAGCAAATCACTCAAAACACTACCATTTAAGTAATTTAAGTAACCACTATTAATGTTAGAAGAGCTCATTCTAGGTATTTCTATGTGTATATATGGCTGCTGGCCTGGCTAGATAGATAGGCAAGAAACGGGCAAAGGGGAAAGGGTAAGACAGGATGTAAACAGAAGGCAGCCTGACAGACAGACAGGAAGGGCTTACAGATGAGCTGATAGATATAAACTGGCAGGCAGGCGTAGAAGAACAGACAGATCGGTAGAGAAAGGCCAGCTGGCAGAGGTGGAAATAAACAGGGAGGTGAAGATGTACAGGTGGGTGGGTGCAGGCAGACAGGCAGACAGAGAATTTGGCAGGCAGATCTAGATGGACAGGCAGGCAGGCAGCCATGGACAGAGACAGGTAAAAGTGAAACCAGACTAAGCAGATTTGAATAGGAAAAAATAGAACTTCTGGAAGTGAAAAAAATGTAATAATTGAAATAGTAAAGAAAAACTTCAAAGGATAAGTTTAATAGCAGATTAGATGCAGCTCAAGAGAGAATAAAGTGGATGATAGATCTGAAGAAATTATCCTGAATGCACCTCAGAGAGACAAAGAGATGAAAAATCTGAGAGGTTGAGTCATGGAGGATAGATGGGAAGGTATGAAGTATGGGTTCAGCTCTCTGCTCTTCATATTTTTTGACTGCTGTTCTACCAGTTACTGAGATTATTCTACTATGGCTGTAGATTTATCCACATTTTTCTTCAAAGTCTATCAGTATTTCCTATATATATATTTGAGGCAAAATTATTAGTTGCAGTACAGATTTAAAATTACTATATGTTCCTTTGAAAAGTTTTCTCTCTTTATCTCTAGTAATGCCTTTTTGCCTCAAAGTCGATCTTGCCTGATCTTAATTTAGCTCCACCAATTTTCTTTTGATTTGTGTTTGCATCATGTATCTTTTTCTGACTTTTTACTTTCAACCTCTCCATATTCTTATGTTTTGGATGTCCTCTTATAAATGGCGTATAGTTTTTAAAATTGAATTGTTTTAAAAATTTATTTAAACCATATAATTTCTGTCTGTTGATTGGAGCATTATTCTATTTACATTTAACATGACAACTGCTGTAATTGTATTTAAGTTTACTATCTTACTTTCTACTTTCTAGTTGTCTTGAATTCTTTCAGACTGATGGTTTTTAGCATCCCATTTTTCTCTTCTAGATTAATATTTTTATACTCATTTGTAATACTTTAATGCCTAACAACGCACATCTCTAACTTGAAATCTTGCGTCAATTTCAAGTTTTACCCTCTTAATATGCACTTTAGCTCCATTTGCGCCTTGTCAGTTTATATGCCATTATTATGTATTTGAAATCCATATTATGAAAATATAATATATATGTATAATCTATTTCAGAACTATATTTTACTCAGGTTTTTTCTTTTTATTCATATATATTTTATTCATTTAGATTTATTCAAATAATTACCCTTTTTTGTTGCATTTTTTCCCTTCCCAAATCTCTGACCTGGCATTATTTTCCTTCTGCCTAAAGAATAACTTTTAGTATTTCTCTTAGATCAAGTCCCTTGGTAACAGATTTTCTTATTTCCTTATCTGAAAATGTCTATATTTTGCTTTCGTTTTTGAAGTATATTCTGTGTGGTGCTAAATTCTGCATAGGTACCTGTGTTCTTTCTTTACATTGACTATTTCATTCTTTTGTTTCTGGCTTCCATTGTTTCTTTGAGAAGTTATGCTAAGTTACATGATTGCTCCTTTGGAGGAAATGTGTCTGTTTTCCTCTGGCTGCTTTTAAGATTTTCTGATTGTCTTTGGTTTTCAGCAGTTTTCCCATAATATACTTTGTGTTTATCTTGCTTGTATTTCTTTGTGATTGTTGAATCTGTGGATTGATATCTTTTATCAATTTTGGCAAGATTCTCAGCCATTCTTTCTTCAAATATTGTTTCTGCCCCTTCTTACTAATCTTCTTTCCTTCTGCATCTCCAACCATAGGATAACCTTTTCATTGTATTCTCTCTCTTACCTTAGCTTTTGATTTAGCCATCCTTTTGTCTCTCTGTGCTTCCTTCTGGATATTTTCTTCTGTTTTCTCTTCAGCTATGTCCATTCTGTTGTCAACTCATATATGCTGTTTTTAGTTTTGTTTATTTCATGTTTCAATTTCATTTATATCTTTTTCTGGTTCTTTATCTAGATTTCATATATGTTTAAACTATTGTCTAATTTTTATTGTGATTGTGTTAATATTGACTTCTTTTCTCATATTTCTGATTTTTTAAGATGCTGTATATCATACTAGCCAGACTGTGCAAGTAATTTTGGTTTTACTGTGATTTTATTTTCCTCCAGAGATGATTTATATTTGCTTTCTGGGAGGAGTATAACATGATATACCTTGATACTGGATTTGGGTTACATAGTTGTCTACATTTGTCAAAGCTCATCATCCATTTAAGATTTGTACATTTCATTGTTTATAAATTTTACCTAAAGTACAATAAATAAATTTTGAACTCTAGTCAGTGATATGCATGCTGAAATGTTTAGGAGTGAAATGTACTGATATCTGCAGCTTTCTTTGACATGCATCAAAAATAAAATGGATTGAAAGAAGGTTAGAGAGGGGTAGGATTGACAGATAGCTATGTGGTAAAGCAGATATACAAATGCTAATGGTAGAATCTAGAGGGTGGGTATATGGATGTTAACTGTAAAAGATTTTCAACTTTTTATATATGTGAAAATATTTGTAATAAAATTTTGGAACAAAACTAAAATGAGCACCATTGTACTTTGTCATATTCTTGTCTTTATTGATCTTTATTAAGATGTGAGTCCAAATATTTGATATATGGATACATTGCAGCCTTGTTATAACACAAACTCCTCTATTCTGAAGTTTGATGTGACATGACCACTATCTATGGAAAATGTGTATATTGCACAAAGCCTTGTTACAGTGAAATCTGCCTGTAACTGGATCCTGTAGCGTGAACCTTGAGGATGATATTAAAGCAAATCTCTGAACCTTGAGATCAAGACTTGGATTCATCACTAACTAAGTTTGTAAGCTTGGGAAATATCTCAGGTATTCTGAGCCTGAACTTAATTCTTCATCTATGGAATTAAAGCAATTATAGGAGTGTTGAGTACCTCTCCTTTGTGTTCACCCCTCGTATAGAAATATTCCTTAAAGCTGGCACTCAAAAAGCAAATGCATTTCCCCTTTACATTTTTGTTTACATTTTTGGAATCTTATCACATTAAATCAAAATTCTTATTCTATACATTAATTCAGATGTGTAAGGGGATTCTTGAATGATAAAAAGTTCGCATAAGTATGCACAGTGCTACAGCTGGCCAGTGGCTTTCATTACATCGGTATCTGTCCTCATTGGTGTGCTGGTAAATGTTGAACAACTGGATCTCAAAAAAGGATGGAAAGGTTGGAAAGAAGAAGGAGAGAAAGAAAGAAAGAAGGAAGGGAAAGGAAGAAAGAGAAAGATAAGGAAAGGAAAAAGGCAAAAAAAGACAAGAAAAGAAGAGCCCTGATTGGTAGCACTTGCCTACTTCTATGGTATAAATACTCCTGCCGTGGCGAATTCAGGCTACCAACGTCATGTCACTGAACCTGGAGTTGGGAAGAGATGTGGCAATTGGCTGCAACTGGCTGTACTAGTGTGTCTGTTTTCTTATAATCTATTTCTGATTCATTGGGAAAAGTTCCCAGTTGTACAATTATTATTCTTTAGCCAATTAAAATATCTGCATAGGTGTGCATTTTGATTATTCTTGTGGAAAAATTATTCAGAAGATGGAAGTTATTTTTAAATTGCATTATGTTTTCTGGCCCAATTATGAAAATACCTTTTTTTGTCAGATAAGTTTGGTGTGCACAACAATATGTGGCTCTGTGTAGTATATTCACAAGCCTTATGTTTCAAAGGAAAGTCTGAAATTGGTGATGGCCAATAGAAATGTCTATTTTGTGGCTCTTTATTGATCTGAGCTTGTGTGGAGTTAAAGGAAATTTTCTCTTTTCATTTTAGGCGTTTTTATTGCCTTCCTGTGACATAGCTGTAACAAGAAAAGTAGTTCAAGTGTACAGAAAGTGGATCCTCCAGGACAAACCTGTGTTCATGGAGGAACCAGATAAAAAAGAAGTTGCCCAAGAAGATTCTGAAAAATTAGAATTTTCAGAGACTGACAACAAGGAGGTAATATTTTATCACTTATTGTTTCAGTTGGGAGTCTATATTTTTAAGCAAAGCATACCTGCTCAGTCAAGGGTCCCAGTCGGTGGGACATAGGCAGTTGGATCTTTTTTTTTGTTGTGTCTAATGTTCTCTAGTTGCTGAGTTCCGTGAGGACCTGCCTCAGTGAGGCTGCTTCTGTGCTCTATTCAGGATTGTCTGTCATCTCCTAACCTGCAGGCTAGGCTCACATGTGCACTGAAGCTTTGTTATTCACCATCATGTGAGAGTTGTTTAATAAACCATCATATTTTACATGTTTCTATATGAGACTAAAAATGTCACTGCCTTATCGTTGACATGTTAATTAGCATTTGAGAAACTAAATTTAGAATGTTTGGGCAGCCTTTTCTTGTGCAGTGGCCTGTACCAGAAACAGTCATTATGATACCCACTTGAAAGGACTAACCCAGTGACGAGTGTTACCTTCCCCATTGGTAAGCCTCGCTGTGTGGCTGGGTGCTCCTCAGAGAACCAGTGCTGCTGGAATGGGCCTTTCGGTTCATGTTGGATAAGTCTAGAGGCTGGGTAAATCTAAAACAACAGAGTGGGACCTGTTCCTGAAACACAAAAGAAGCTTAAGTCATATTTATATATGTATATTTACACATTCTGTTTTGGAATCTAGTCTGAGAAATTATTTCTAAAAGTCAGGGTTTGTCACAGCAATTAACAACAAACATTTAAACATATTTGTAACCAAAGACATATCACTTTTAAATATCTGTATTAATTCCATAATTTTGATTTTTTAATATTGGTGAAGTCATTCTAATAACTAGTCATGAAGTTAAAATGTAAAATAAGCAAATGGAATTTATCATACATATTAAAGGTCAGTACTACATGCTCATTCAGTCATTGGACGTTTGTTTATTTCTTCAGCACATACTGAATGCTAGGAACTATTTTAGGTGCTAAAGGTAGAGTAGTGAACACAATGGAAAAAGACTTGTCCTCCTAGAACCCATATTCTCATAAATTCTGGTGAGTGTGAGGAATTAAATATGCGAATGTGTGCTTCTTCCCCCTCTGTTAACTGGTTGTTATTTTCTAAAGACCTCGTCTGAAAGTTCCGGTCATAAGCGATCTTCCAGTTGGGGACGAACCTACTCCTTCACAAATGCGGTGAACAGAGGGTGTGTGGCAGAGGAGGAAAATAAGAATGTGAGAGCCGGGGCCCAGGCCATGCTGCAGGTACGTGTGCAGCCAGAGACGACATGCCCCCAGTTGGAGTTGGTTTGAACATTTTGTTTATTAGGGTAACATTGTATAATGTATGGTGGTATTTTTAACCATCTGTCAGTAAATAGCTCTTAAATTCTCGTTCTGAGTTTTCTTCCTGATTTCTCACTTTCAATTTGAAAAAATTTTTTTTCTAGTCAAAGGAGACGTAAGAACTGGTTGCAGTTTTTTTAAGAGGAATTATTATATAGTGAATGTAAAAGGACTAAGATTTAAATCTTAAATGTATCTTCTGAACACATATGGGTAGTTAGTTACCCAGACTCTAATTTGCAAGACCAGCATGGTGATTATTTAATCTTACAAGTAATAGTCCTCTTAAAAATTACCTGTGTTTATGAAGAATGATGATTAATCCATTAATTTTTAGATATTTATCTGAATGAATATATGAAATAGAACCGATACCATTTAAGGACATTGGAAATAATAACTTTGGCTCATCACTTAGTCTCCCTCGACTTCAGGATTTTATTTCAAAGATGGAGATTGGGAGATTACTTCTTGGGTCCCATTCAGCTTGAAGGTTGTTAAGAACATAAGTGAAAACACAGGCTGCCTCTCTTTCCCCTGCTGCCAGGCATGCCCTCCATCCCGTAAACATGTTTGTAGCAATGTCCAGTTAGGCCTCCCACACAGAGGCCAGGCATGGAGTCTTGGGATGGCCTGGGCATGGCATGCATGGTACCCAGTTTTAAATGACACTATATTTCTAAAATCTGTCTCTTGATAGGATTCCTTATCATGGTATCCTTTTTAAGTTACTTAGCAGTGTAATACGCTAACTAATGAATTTTCTCATTTTTCAAAAATCAAATCAGCAAATAATTTTAAATTAACTTAAAAAAAATCAAGATGATTTTACTTAAGTAGCTTCAAAGAACTTCGGTGCAGCTCATAATTATAACCTGTGTCCTCACCAGAGAAATACTTGCAGGGTTCCCTGCCCTGTGTCCCTCAGTAGCCCCCTTCCTCCAAGTTGATTGCCAGATTGCCACCCTCAGCCATCCCACTGTCAGCCAGTGGGATTGTGGATGCCAGTTATCTCCCTGGGTTCAGAAGAATGTTATTTGTTTTCTGAAAGGATAAGTTACATCTGCTTGGATGAACCAAGAAAAAAATTTTCTACTTGCTTATAGCTCTAGTTTTAAAAAATATTTAGTTTGGATTTAAATAGCTGTTTTTGTTCTCATTGTATCCAGTACCTTGGTCCTTTATGTGGTTCATTAGGAGAAAGTGGCCAAATGGAGCTTTGATAAGATAGTACTCTTCTGTAGTTGCTTTTGACAAGTCTAATTTGGACATATTAATTTTATTTATTTTTACCTTAACTGATACTAATGTGGTAATAAGAAATTACGGAATTACCATGTTGATGTTTTTAACAAAGCAAAGTGAACGAAGTGTGATATATGGAGACTCTTCACTTTTACTTGGGAATATGCAGTAATTTCAAATTCAAATCAAGAAGCTAAAGACGTTGAATTAAACTGATCTGCATGGCAATATGTCATCTATGGCATACATCTTTAAAAAATAAAGTCAGTAAAACTGCTGTAGTTTGTTAGTCAAAAAATTCTTTTTCTTGCTTGAAGGCTAGTAAGTTCTTCATGATTGCTGTTATCTATTATCCACTATTATAGCACTTATTTAGTAATTCTTCCTAGAAAATTGAGACATGATACTTTTTTAAGGTAATCTTAGAGGCTGTCAACATTTTAGTTCACCCACTTGACTTTTAAGCGTGTTCATTTTTTTTTTAAAGATTTTATTTTTCATTTTTCTCCCCAAAGCCGCCCGGGACATAGTTGTATATTTTTTTAGTTGTGGCTCCTTCTAGTTGTGGCATATGGGATGCCGCCTCAGCATGGCCTGATGAGCGGTGCCATGTCCGCACCCAGGATCCAAACCGGCGAAACCCTGGGCTGCCGAAGCGGAGCGCATGAACTTAACCACTTGGCCCCGGGGCTGGCCTCAAGTGTGTTCATTTTAATTTCTCTGGTCAGTTTGTGCATCTATTTTGAGATGTTGTGTTAATGGATTTCCATCCACAGGTGAGCCAAAGAGGCTCTGTTTGTTCCCAGATTTTTGAGTTTGGACTGTTGAACACAAAGGAGACCTAAGAGAGAATATAGCTGTAGATAGATGGAGCAGATTTACCCTCATCTAGGTTGGCAACTCAAAATCTCCTAAATTGAGGGGTCACTAGTGTCATCTGTGTAAATGGTAAAATATTGTTATTTTACATGCCCCTAAACAGTAACTTACTATATCATAACCTGAATCAGCGCTTCTCACAATCTTCTACAAAAATACCCCTGATGGTAGAGAACAGTGAACTTTATCCGAAAGGTCTGAGGCACAACGTAGAGCAGTTGGTTGTTACCTAAGATTTTTTGAAATGTTTTTATATTAAGAATTCACTTATATTTTATATTCTACTGCATAATATAGTTCTCATATTAAAAATACATGTTCCTGGAAGATGCGCAGTGTTGATCATGTGGCTTTGGCTGTTTCCTGGCGCGCCAGTGCTCCTAGAGGCCCACACCCTTGTTGGGTGGTGCTGGCCTGGCTGTGCTTCCTGTCAGCAAGTTGTTTATGTGCTGGGAGATTCAACAGTAATCAGATAGTTCTTTCTAGCCACTGTCTGACCACAACTCCTCTTCCTCTCCCCTTCTCCCACCCCAAAATTTCTCACCCAGAAGTGGTGATCTTATCTTACCTTTTTTCTCTCTCCCTCCACCCCTTTTTTTTAAGCAATGTCAAAAAGAAGTCCCCAAAAGCTTTTTTGATTCATGGAATTTCTGAAGTTGCAATATAAATAAGTAATAGTAATTTTTTTCTAGGAAAGGTCTTTCAGGTGTCTCAGTATTTTAAGAGGTGAACTAAAAAAAATCTTAAGTATATGTTGGTACCACTTGCCTTAATTGAAATAATGCAAAGGTGACATTGGTAGAGTGAAATTAATATTATCTTTAAGCAAAATTTGTTCAGATTTATATGTTTAATTATGTTTTCTAATGTAAAATTTGTTGATTTTAAGGTGTTTTTGACAAATGCTGCAAATGTTTTTTTGTTGGAACCATGTGCTGAAGTTCCCATGCTCTTGAAAGAACAAGTTGATGCTTGTAAAGCTGTTTTGATTATTTTTAGGCGCATGATAATGGAGCTTACAATGAATAAAAAGACATGGTAAGTTTATTCCAAATTAATTAATATTGTAAAACGGACGTTTCTGTTTTTCAACATAATAATTAAAATGTTAAAGCTTCCATTTATTAAGTGGCTTTATGAAGTTAACAATAAAGTGATGATTAGTCTTTTGTAACAGTTTCTGTGAATTATGAAGAAGGTAAGTGTCCAGTACTTTGATAGTTCATTTATTTTCATTATTGGTTTCAAAACTATTCTTGAATTAAGAGTAAGTAGTCATATTACATAATAGTAGATTTTTCCATTTTAACTATCATCAAACAGTTTTGTGAAAAAGTATAACTGGTGTTTTACAGTATCATTCTTCTGAAGCCCAGGAGAGTTTGTTAATTGCTCCAAAATGCTGTTAACTGATTTTTGTTGCTTCAAAACTTGAAGTTTTAAATTCATTTTGGAAAAATAATTACTTTAAATGATAAATTGTCAAAAGTGGCTAAATAAATAGTGCAGTCAAAAATATAGTGGTGTTAGGGCTGGCCCTGTGGCCAAGTGGTTAAGTTCGCGCGCTCCGCTGCAGGCGGCCCAGTGTTTTGTTGGTTCGAATCCTGGGCCACGGACATGGCACTGCTCATCAAACCACGCTGAGGCAGCGTCCCACATGCCACAACTAGAAGGACCCACAACGAAGAATATACAACTGTGTACTGGGGGGCTTTGGGAGAAAAAGGAAAAAAATAAAATCTTTAAAAAAAATATATAGTAGTGTCATTAAAATATACTTACACAAAGTGTTTTCATTTTCATCCTTCATTTTTGTTTGGTGTTTTTGTGTTTATTATATCCCTAAAGGTAAACAATGCATTAAGTTTTTTCCATGCCCTTCTCCCATAATGAATGTCTTCATATCACTCTGGTTTTGAGGTGTTTTCAGAGGTTCTCGGCAACAGACCAGAGTTCCTCATAGCCACTTTCAAATCCTCTCTTCCTTCATGCATTGGAAAGGCAGCCTCTCTGTTCTGCCTCTAAAATGCCTCTCAAGTCCATCCTTTGCATGCTCCCCCACCCAACCACTCAAGCAGACAAGACGCCCTCACTGCTTGCCCGGCTGTGGTCAACACTCCTCCCAGTGATCTTTGGGCTCGGCTCTCAGTCTGCTGAGGCCACTGCAGACCTGCGCTGGTGGCACACTTCTCTCCTGGAAGTCTTCTGGTCCCCATTACCCAGCTGTGTTCTGGATGCCCTTTCTGGACGTCTCTGCGTCAGCAGTAAAGGTGCTCTGGAAGGATCTCTCTGCAGTTGGTGGTAACCACAGAAATGAGGCAGGACTGAGCTGGCAGGACCTCCGGGGCCATCGAGTGGTTTTCTTTCTCAGTTGAGGGAGGGGAGAGCCTAGAGAATCCTGTCATGCAGAAAGTTCACTAATACGGAAACTACAGTATCAAAATGATTATTTTAAGATGTAAATTTCAATGTCATTCTTTCCCAGATTTTTAAACTTAGCACCATTTGCCAAGAAGCAGTTGTTAAAGCTGGAAATATTACTGTGATGAACAATATGATTTAAGTCAAGTTAAATGTTGCATCAGTAATAGTGAAAGTAATGAAAACTGCTAGTATACTTTCAACTGAAATATGTGCTCCTCAATACCACAGTTATATCAATAGTGTTTTTGATGGCTTTTTTTTTTCTTTGGAACTCTATGAATTCAGCATGCCATTGTATCAGCACTGTTTTGATATTTTTGATAATCTTTTTTTGGGTGAAAATTCTAGGAAATAAAATTAAGCAATTCTTCTCTGTTCTTTAATCAGAAATTTTCAGATAAAAGTATAAAAAAACAAATTATAGAAATAGATGAAAATACTCACCAAAAAATAGTCAGTAGAGCATAGAAAGGGATGTGATCTGTTTCCGTAGCAGATTTTCTTATGTATTTTAGTACCAGACAATCCCTCTATGCCCTCCTCTCTGTCCCTCCCTTCTTCCCTCTAGTAAATAACTACTTAACTTCTGTGAAGATATAGGGTGAACTAGATAGACAAGGTTCCTGCCCTCATGAGATTTCCATCCTCACAGACTGAGAAGTGTAATGAACACAGAAGCAATTTTAGTAGGATTAAGTGCTAAGAACAACGAAGCTGGGGAAGGGGACAGTGTGGAGGGTGGGGGAGTTTTTTTCATCAGGTGTCAGGAAAGGCCTTTCTGAGCAGAGGTCCGAGGGAAGAGGAGGGGAGCCATGGGAGATCTGTGGGAAGAGCATCTTGATAGAAGGAGCAGCAAGTAACCAGCATGGTGTGTTCCAGGCAGGACAAGATGACAGCCCATGTGGCAGAGCAGAAAGAGGGAGGGGGAGAGTGGGAGGGGATGACACGGGGGCAAGCCAGAGCCAGGTTTCTCGGGGCCTTTCAGGTCTCAGGAAGCACACTACTACCTCTCTGTGTGTGCGCCAGAGTGACGCAATCTAATTTATGTTTCCAAAAGACCCCTCTGACTGCCATGTGGATAAGAGACAGTGGGGAAGAGCACGAAGTCTGTGGCCATTGATGATGGTGGCTTTGACCAGGGCTTGTAGCCAGAGAGGTACTGAGAAGTGGTCCTGAAATAGTGATAACTGGTGTGTGAGTGAGTAACAACACCATCTGTGTGAGAAGATGAGGACAAAGTAAAGAATGAAGAGTGCAGGAAAGTCCTGTGCCTCTGCCAACACCAGAACAGCACGTGCGCATCGTTTCATGTGCTCTGATAGGAGTTGTTACACTCTTCGGGCAGTTCTCCTTTGAGGAGGAGTCACAAAAGTCAGCGTTTCACAAAATAGGAAGGAACAAGTTAGAGTCAAAATTGTTAGGAAAGATTTTTCCAAACTAGAGATAATTTTTTACCTTCATTTTCTTCCAGAAGACTCTGGGAATTTCATGACTTTCCAAGCTTCCATAGGTTCAGAAATTAAATTAACCCTGTGTCTTTGTCAGTTATTGCTTTGATCAGGTTTGCATTTTTTGATAGTCAACTTTATTTTCTATCACAAAGATAGATAGGGAGACCTTACAGGTTAATAAAATAATGGATGTGAAAATTAAAGGTTGCTGCGTAAGTTCAAACAGGCACAGCTACTCACTAAGTGTCTTTACGGGACTGGCACCGTTGGAGAAACAATCTTGCCTCCCTTTGTGCAAGGGGAGAAAATCAGGCCAGGATGATACCTGTTTTATCCTGCCTATTGATATGGGCATCAATAGTTGACATATTTTTAGAACTGTTGTAACATAAGGTAGCTTAGAACTGTTGTAACATAAGGTAGCTTGTTTTGATAAATTATAGTATTCATTATGTAATTGGCGTTTGGATTTTTAATACTTTTGAGTAATACACGATTATCAATGTTACTGAATTCTTAAGAGAATTTCTTGTACACATAAATTAAGGTGCTTTGGAGATGTGATTAATAATATGAGCTTTTATTTTGTGTGACCCAGGGAACAGATGTTGCAAATACTACTCAGGATAACAGAAGCTGTCATGCAGAAGCCAAAGGATAAACAAATAAAGGACTTGTTTGCCCAGAGCTTGGCAGGGATACTGTTTAGGGTAAGTCTTTTTTATTAAAACACTGCAAATGCAAGAAATGAATTAGATTTCACAGCAAATTAGTTTGAATCATTGAGAATTTTGAGTAAAATTTAACTAACTTTAAATTTCTAGAAATTTTTCTTCTTTGCTTTGTCCTGAAGGTTCTAATCTATTCCTTACTATTAGCACTGGGCTTCTTTTAGGCTTTCTCACCTCTCTGCCATCTACTTCCTCTTTTGATGTGCTTGAGGTTGGTAGAAATTTGGAAGATGAGAACAGCTGATGGCCTTAGTGGAGGACCAGGTAGATTTGAAGAGGTAAAGGATGAATGGAAGCCTGGGAATGGGAATAAGGTCAGGGAGTGGTTCAGGCTAGAAATAAAAATGCAAGAGCCATTGCTGTGTTGGTCAATTGTGTTTAAAGACTAGGTGCGATCACCTAGGGAAAGAATAGTGCCATAGAGACAAGAAGACCATCTCTATAATTGGTGGAGGAGAGGAGGCAGCCAGAGATGCTGAGAAAGAGTGGCCAGGGAGCTAGGAGGGAAACTACAGGGGCATGTGTCCTGGATGTCTGGAGAAGAGTGTTGGGTAAGAGGAGAACTGCCAGTTGACCATTGGCTTTGACTAGATGTAGATAGTTAATGTTCTAGGGGAATGAGGCTGACTTGGAGTGGATGGAGGAGAAAATGAGAGCTGGGCAGTGGAGGTAGCAAGTATACTCAAGGCTTTGCAAGGGTATTGATGTAGAAGGGAAAAGGGAGCTACCTGGAGTCAGCAGTATGCATGGAGGGCAGAGTTTAAGGTGGGTGGTATTATAGTATGTTTGCTTGCCAGTGGAGATGGTCCAGTGTGAGAGAGAATAGGATAGTGTAGGGGAGAGATAGGAGAACTGCAGAAGTGAAGTCCTGGGTGAGGTGGGGACTGGGCTGGCCTTAGGTAGGAGCAGAGAGCCAAGGAGATGGCTGTGTTTCTTGCATCTCACATGATGAGAAAGGTCAAGAACACAAGTAGTCTGACATTGCCCTAAGGGAGAGAGAAGAGAAGGCAGATGATGAACTAACTGCCTGGGAAGTAAAAGTTTTAAAGGGTCTTGAGGGCAGTAGCCTATTGCAACATTATTCTAGAAAGCACTAATACTTATGGGATGTGTAGAATTTATAAAGCATTTCTGAAAAACAACAGTGTGAAGGGCTCTGGAAAAATGTGACATCCTCACAAACAAAGGCATCAATACCATGGATAGACCTGATTTTGAATAATTTGATTAGGAGAAAGCGTGGTAGATCCTGAGCTGGAAGTGATGCTTGCAGGGAGAAGAAGTTAACTTCCTTCCTCGGTTGACTCAAAGGTGGTTTTGGAGGATATATATTAACAGCATATCTAGAATACAGGTAGGATGTGTAGGTGAAGATGACAAAAAAGGAAATTAGTTCTTTAAAGCTAAATATGCCCATTGTAATATAAGAGAACCCGATTCATATCAATTTTTAATAATTTAATATGATTGAATGATCTTGACTTGATGAAAAATGTATGAGAGGCTGAAGAAATAATTGGCATGCACTCACTTACCTCCTAAATGATATAATCACTTTTACTTTGATTGCCTTGCCTAGTTATTGGGTACATGAAGTGGTCCACCACATCCTTTCATGTTGGTCCAACTTTGCTGTGCTCTTGCCTCGAGGATGGTACTGACCACTTGCTTTGCTCCTCATGTGGACACACAGACACTCTCCTCACTTTGCTCTGACTCTCATGGAGCATCTCACTTTTGGCACCTTCCTGATCTCCCAGTTCTGATGGGACTGGGACTGCCAAGTGACATGGACTGAAGCCAGGCTCAGGATCATTCCTGGGCCTCATTCCGCACCAGTTGCCTGGCCCTGCATCTGTTGTGTGTGTGGGAATTAGAGCGAGAATTTGTTACTGAATTAAGCAAGAATCTATTGTGGAGTTGTGTTTTTTGTTTGTTCGTTTGGTTTTGGGTTTTGGGGGGGACATCCCCCTCATTAATGGAGAAATTTTGTCAGATCTCCCTTGAAGATCAGTTTTGAATCCATGATCAGTGATTTTGATGTCATTGTTATTATTATTATTTTGGCAGTAGTTAGATGGAGCAAGAAGAATGCTTACATTAAGAACTAACCACAAAATAGTGGAGAAAGAATGATCTTTTTTTGGAGGTAGGCAGTTTCTTGGTTCTGATCCCAGATCTGACATTTCCTGACTGTGTGGCCTTGAGCAAATCATGTCACTTTTCTGAGTCTCTGCTCTAATCTGTCACAATCAGGAAAGGGTTCCTTCCTACCTTGCAGGGTTGCCGTAAGAATCAGAGAGGAGTCTTTTGGGATTTATGATCATCTGTTGACCTTCCCAGTCCTTTTGTGAGATCCGAGGAGGGAGAAAAATATGAAAAGTCTAGACAGATCTGCCAGACAATCAAGTGGGCATCATCCTAGTCCTATACTAAAATTAAAATGCGCCGTCTCATCGTTATTCATCTGGTCATGTGGACCATCTACAATTGCCTCTTGATACTTGATTTTTAAAAATTTGAATAAGGAGACTATTAAAGGGGACAGGAAATTTTAAGTTGCCATTAGCCTTTTATTTTTTTCTAATTTTTCCTTTAGTGTTTAGTTTTTTCTCTGTCAGTAGATAACTTGGTTTGGCAAATTTTCTCCAAATGACAGTTGAGTTTTAATTAGTTTTAAGTATTACCAAATAATGATGATTGCCTTAAATGATGTGTTAATCTGTTGTCAGTGCTAAATATGACCTTGTGCTTGAAGCTCTGAAGGTACATCAGAAAACTTGGACTATGGTCCTTCTATTTACAGTCTGAGCCGTTACTTTGAAGTTGTGTAGTCCCCTAACATGTCGAGTAGAGAAAGGCAGAAGGTGGCTGGTTAGGAAAGGTATATAAGAAAAGGAGCAATTTACAAGTGAAGCTGTTCTTTTAATACAGCTTGTGTGCCAAGATGTATTTGATAAAACAGGAATTTCAGTGCTGAAGGAACCTTGGGGATACTTTTGCTCAGCTTTTTATTTTTAACGAGAAATATGACTCCAGAAAAGTCAAGTAAATTGCCAAGGTCACAAACCAAGTTAGTGACAGAACCGAGTCTTGGTGCTCTCTCTTTCCCTGTTCCTCTTAGAAAAGGGTAACTTATTAAAGGGATGTCCAAAGGTGCTGCCCGTCACCCGCTGACTGTATTTCATGGTTTTGCTCTGTATGGAAGTATTGTTAGTTGTGAATAATGATGATCATTCCACAGGTCAGTGTACATGTTTTTAAGGTTAGCTAAGATGAATTTTATAAGCTGAAGGAAGTCATCGTTCTGTCCTTGTTTTATGATTAGTCAATAAAGTGAAGCCAATGCAAGATTCCCAATACAGGTATCTTCCCCCACCAAAGCATGTGCCTTTAAACCTGTAGCCAGTTCTATAACCAGATGTGAGGCTGAGTCCCGGTAACGTTGCCAGTCTCTACTTTCTCCTCTTACTCTGCTAAGATAATATTTTTATCTACTATTTATTAATTTTATTGTATGTATGTACTTTATGGTAATGGCCTCAAACTCATTTTGAAAATAGGAGTGTAAAAAGGAATACACAGAAGCTGGCATTTTAGTCATAATAAAAGTATATAGTAAAATATTAATAAATGATAAAATTATTTTAATGTTTTATTTTGTATTGTCTTTAATTTTTTAAAAAATTCATTCACCTTAGAATCAGATTTTAAGTCTGAGTGTTTAAAACCTTGTTTTCAATGTACTCAAGTATTTTAGCTCAACTTTAACATTTTTATCCCTTTAAAAAGTGTAGTAAACATGATTTTGAAGAATCTTTTCGGACACTATAACTCCTCAGCTGAGGGAAACAACAGAAAGAATAAACAAATGGGACTTTATCAGAATAAAGAGCTTCTTCAAGGCAAGGGAAAACAGGATTGAAACAAAAAAACAGCCCACTAATTGGGAAAAAATATTTACAAGCTACTTATCCGACAAAGGGTTAATCTCCATAATATACAAAGAACTCACACAGCTTAACAACAAAAAAACAAACAACCCGATCAAAAAATGGGCAGAGGACATAAACAGACATTTCTCCAAAGAATATATAAGTATGGCCAATAGACACATGAAAAGATGCTCATCATCACTAATCATCAAAATGCAAATCAAAACTACACTAAGATATCACCTTTACAATGACAATAATAACTGAAACAAATAGTAACAAATGTTGGAGAGGTTGTGGAGAAAAAGGAACCCTCATACACTGTTGGTGGGAATGCAAACTAGTGCAGCCACTATGGAAAACAGTATGGAGATTTCTCAAAAAGTTAAAAATAGAAATACCCTATGACCCAGCCATCCCACTACTGGGTATCTATCCTAAGAACCTGAAATCAGCAATCCCAAGAGTCCCATGCACCCCTCTGTTCATTGCAGCATTATTTACAATAGCCAAGACATGGAACCAACCTAAATGCCCAGAAACTGATGATTGGATAAAGAAGATATGGTATATGTACACAATGGAATACTACTCAGCCATAAAAAGGACCAAATTGTTCCATTCGCATCCACATGGATGGACCTTGAGGGTATTATGTTAAGCGAAATAAGCCAGACAGAGAAAGACGAACTCTATATGACTCCACCTATAGGTGGAAGTTAACATATAGACAAGGAGAACTGATTGGTGGTTACCAGGGAAAAGGGGGGTTGGGGGGAGGGCACAAAGGGTGAAGTGGTGTACCCACAACATGACTAACAAAAATGTACAACTGAAATCTCACAAGGTTGTAATCTATCATAACCTTAATAAAAAAAAAAAGTGTAGTAAACATGATTTTGAAACATAGAGGACAGGTACATTACAAAAGGGTCACTTTAAATATGATTTTTCAAGTGGTTAGAACAGGCCTGCCTAATTATAGACTGCTTTCTGTTTCTCATAGTTTTCCTGTGTCTATGTTAAAGAACAATTTCTCTCTTAATTAAAAAGCAAATTCATCCGTAACCCGTGCACAGTACAACCCCCGAAGACAGTGGGACCCAGTTTGCATCTGGGTTGACCAGAAATATTTGCAAGTTGGCACTTTAAGAAGTACATTTAGCTCTGACAACAGATCAGGAAAGTTACACAGACTTTGGATATAAAGATTCCCTCTACTGAGATTGGGCAGGGATCTGAGGCTCATCTGAGATGGACTTGGCATTTCTTTCAAGGGAGACACATTTTGATTTGAATTTTGAAGTATTTGGAATATTTTGGGAGAGGTAAGGAACTGGGCAATTTCAAGGTAAGGAAATATCTGGAATATATGCGTAATGGACCACACATGTGACCAGTTGTAGTGCTGTGGACCATAAGGCTAGAGGAGGGACACAGAGAAGTGAACAGACTCCTAAGGAAAGGAGTGATAAGTGCTCTGAGGGGAACATGCAGAGAGCTGTGGGAACTGAAGGCTACTTACTGGAGGCTGGGATTGAGGTGGCAGTCAGGGACACCTTGGAGGAAGTAATGTCCAAGTTATGACCTGAAGAATGAGTGGGAATTAAAGAGGCAAAAAGGAGGGAAGAGAGGGAAGGAAGAGTATTTGCAAAAACCAGGAGCAAGACACCAGGTCGAGGAATTGGATGCATCTCAATGGAAGAAATCAGATTCTTTTTACTATTATGCTGTATTACAGCTGCTTGCAGAACATCCAAGTAGAGCTATTGAGTAAGCAGATAGGTAGGTCAGGAAACCAGCAAAGAGGCGTGGGCTGAACATGGAGATTCAGAAGTCAGCGCTATACAGATGGTAACTGGAGTCATTAGAATGGAGACCAAAATTCAGGCAGAAGGTGGGGTGGGTAGGAAGGGAGAAAGCCAGAGCAGTCAGTTGACTGGGAGGTGAGGAAGTGCAGATGGAGGGAGTGCAGAAAAGTCTTTCAAGAAATTTGGCTTTGAAATGCGAAGCAGAAGGACTCTGCTAGAGGGGGGAATCTGGGTTCAAGGGAACCTTTTTTTTTAAGATGAGGAAGAACTGGAGCATGTTTAAATGCGGATGGCGAGGAACTGGGCGAGTAGGATAGATTGGAGATAAAGGAGAAGTGTGGTTAATAGAAACACAGAGACTGTGAAGGAGAGGGCCAAAGCAGAGGTGGGGACAAGGATAGAAGAGCAGGAGACTGTCTTTGCTTACACCCTCCACATGGAGAAGAAGCTGGGCGAAAAAATGAGTCTTGTGGGCAGAGGTTCAGGACATTCTTGTTTAATGGGTTCTATTTTCTCTGAAGTCTGCAGCGACTTCATCTGCTAAATGTCAGAGAGGAGTTGGTGGGGTTGGAGGTTTACATGTAGGAGAGAAGGTTTGAAGTAGCCAATGTGGAGAGTGAGGGAAAGAGCTGTCTCAGGAGACAATAGTTGTACAGAGAGCATCATCTTCTCCCCACTTATGGCCAGGACCAGCCATAGACACTAGAATAATTTTGAATCGGTAGCTTGTTCATAAAGATAACTAATTTCACAGTAGCTCAAATCCTGATTACAGTTGATCAAATGAATTTTGAGAAATTAAAAAAAAATCCAAAAGCACTTTTTGTTTTAAAATTCATTTTATTATTAGTAATTTAAAGTATCTTGTTGAAGATTATACTTCTTCCAATTGAAGATGATTGAATTCTCTTCTTGGTTGGTTGGTTTTAGACGCTCCTTGTGGCTTGGATCCGGGCAAACCTCTGTGTGTACATTTCTCGAGAGCTCTGGGATGACTTTCTTGGTGTGCTGTCCTCCCTCACGGAATGGGAGGAACTCATAAACGAGTGGGCCAACATCATGGACTCCTTGACAGCAGTGCTTGCGAGAACCGTTTATGGAGTTGAGATGACAAACCTACCTCTGGACAAATTAAGTGAACAAAAGGAAAAGAAGCAACGAGGCAAAGGTATTTCCATTCTTACAGGGAAACACTAGATGTCTGAGACTGTGGAGGAGTGTGTATTTACACGTCAGCAATTATTACATGAATTTTCACAATAAACTGAACTAGCCATAGACAGTGTCTTTTTAATGGTGGCATTAGATTGTGTCTCATAGCACTCTGTCCCCTTAATGAGGATGATGAATTTATAGAGAGGCTGTGGAAGGAGGAGGAGGATGAAGGGGAGCAGTAGCAGTGGTAGTAGTAGTAGTAATAACAGTAATAATAGTGGCTACTGCCGTGTATATGTTGTCACTCTTCACCCTCCTGGTAACCTCTGAAGTAGACACTACTATTCCCACATCACAGACAAAGAAACTGAAGTACAGAGAGTCCACAGTGATTGACTCATTCAAGGTCACATAACGAAGAAGTGGTGAAGCCAGAAGGGCAAGTCCAACTCAAGACGCCACACCATTAAAGATGTATTCTCTGCTTCCCTAGGAAAGGTGGAAAAATTCTGAATGCTTCAGATGGAAGTTGTTTTAGTTTTGTTGTGTTTCTGGGTAAAAGTTGTTTTGAGACCTGGAGTCAGATCAAGGTGAGGAACATCAGTGGTGTCTGTTGGGGATGACAGTTTGGCAGCCTCTGTCTTCATTACTGTTTTTAAGGCTATGACGCAGTTCTTGGATTAATTCCGTTGTACTCAAACTTACTGTGTAAAGGTTTTGAGACAACTCATAGAAAAACATATAATACAATAGATAAAATACATAAGGACATTGGGGCAAAATGAAAGGGGCTGGAACAACAGGCATGATTAAAATGCCAAAATGCGTGCCGAAGAGCCTCATGTGGTTGCTGGAGAGGTGGGAAGAGGACAGCCTTGGATTTGACTCTGATCTTCACAGGATTACTTCAGAGAATCATCGAGTACAAAAGGTAAAACCAATCCACTTGCTTAGGTGATACATAGCTTTTCCTGGTCCTAAGACGTAGGGGGAATCTCCTCCAAAGACTCAAAAAGAGTACATTGCTTGCTAGGGCAGACTACAGCCTCAATAATAGCCTTATTATAGATTGTCAGTTAGCTGTTACCATGTGACAGATTACTTCAAAACATAATGGCTTAAAATAACCCTGTATGTAGGTCATGATTTTTTGAGTTGACAGTTTGGGTTGGGCTTAGTTGGGCAGTTCTTCTGCTGGATTCACTCCTGTTTTTGCAGTCAACGAGGCTGTGAGATAGTCAGCTAGGCAGCTCTCCTTCTAGGGGTTGGCTAGCTGTCAGCTGGGACAGTGGGGGTGACTGGGCCTTATATCTTTCATCACCCAGCAGGCTAGCTCAGACTGTTCACATGATGGTTTAGGGTTCCAGGAGCAGCAAGAGGGCAAGCCCAAATTTTCAAGTGCATTTCAAAACTCTACTTGCTCAGTTTTGCTTCCAAAGTAAGTCATGCTCTGAAGCCCAGATTCAGTGTGGGAGAGGACAACAGAGGATGTTGATATGGGGAGGTGTGAACCAATTACAGTGATTAATTAACCATAGAGAAATGTAATTAACATGACTGATTCTTAAAATACCCTCATTGCAGTCTGTGAGTGCCTTGCCAAAGAACCAGTTGATAAAAACAAGTTAGGAAGAAGCTAAAACAAAGTAGTTTAAGTCCATGGCATTCCAGTGGAACATTTTAATCCCAGTTTAGATTTAGACTGTTTAATGCAGTGACTTTCTAACATATTTTAGCAGCAGATCCTTTTTTCTCCCCAGTTGAAGCTGTACAGAGCCCCTTCCTAAAAAAATATATTAGTCTGGAGATTTGGGATTGAAGTAGGGACAGGGAGCCAAGAACCTGGGCCCTTGGCCTCTCTGTTGTGTCCTCTACAGCAGCTCTGAGGTCCTCTGTGTAAACCCAGAGCCTAAGAGAATCAAGATGGTTCCAGCCAGGAACTTGGCTCTAAGACTGTGGTTCTCAGCCCGAAGGAGAGTCTACCTGACTAGGGGCACCCTTCAGGATGGAGGGTAGTTGCTAAGACAACCATCCCCAGAGTTAAGGACCTTCTCAAATTAAATGCATATCTTGCCTCCTGAAATTCTTGTAATCTACCCTGCCCCTCAGCCCCCGCAATGTTCTCTTCACTCTCACTGTGTGAACACAGATTCATGGGAAGAGATAGGCTCGTCTTAGGAGGTAAACAACTTTAAAAACACTATTTTCAGAATGATACAGGACAAATTTAATTATTTAATTAATGGCTATGGTAAATATTTTTGATTGATTTATTATATTGCTGTATTATAAAAATGGATTTAAATAGCCATTGTAGAAATACTTGCCTTCTAAGCACTGGACACGTGGAAACAAAATATACTCTTGAGGAGCCTGGGTGTAAAAACAAGCCACAGGTGGCAGCCACCAGCCACATCACACCTGTGCAGAGGTCTCTACATGACTCATTCTCTTTTCTCCTATATTTCTTTTGGATCCTTGACCACTCATTTGAACTAAGTGACCAGAGCAATATGACAGGAAAGAGGAGAATTTGAATTGCAGAGCTGCAATATTTTATTGTTTTGGAGCTTCACTAAAATAAAATTTTTTATTGTTTGAAGATTTTCATTGTCCTTGCTCAATCGACTGACTCTAGTTAGAGTTTATAAGCATAAACTCCTTTTGGGGATTTATGAAAAGGTTGACGTCTACAGGATGGAACACTATTCAAAATCAGGCTCTCTAATTTTCTGGTCTATAAAAGTAGTTTTTGGAGTGTCCTGGGAGCAGTGGTGTGACTTCATTTGACATTGTTTTTCTGTTGAGAAAGGTTTATTAATATGTTTTTTTTTGTATATTGGAGTACTATGAAGAGATGATAATTTTCATGAGACTATTGAAGATGCTTGAAAAATACTTTGGCAACAGGAATTTTTAGATTAGCAATATATGAATAACTTCCTAAATTGCAGTATAAGGAAGCGGTACCTAATTTGCAACAAGAGAACCTGCTGGTTATATATAATTGTATGTGTGAAATTTGCTGAGCAACATAGGCTATGAAATGAATAATAATTCAGCCTTTAGATTATTTTTCTTGCCTTATTTTTTATCAGGCTGTGTTCTGGATTCTCAGAAAGGAACCACTGTGGGGAGATCCTTTTCTCTCAGCTGGCGGAGCCACCCAGATGTGACGGAGCCAATGCGGTTTAGGAGTGCCACCACATCAGGGGCGCCAGGAGTCGAGAAAGCAAGAAATATTGTTCGCCAAAAAGCAACTGGTAAACATTTATTTAAATATTTCTCAAAGGTCTAGTTGCTATCTAAATGGATTTGTAGGAATAAAATATTTTAAAAGTTTTAAAATTCCACTCAGAACTTAAATACTAGACTTTTTATTAAATGAGATATCTTTATATCTTTTTAACTTTCTATCCTGGTTACTTTTCAAATTGTTTTTTTGATGCTTATTTCTAAATTCTTCATTGTGAAAAAGAACTTGAGATGTTAATATTGAGTGAAATATTTGTGCAAAAGAGACAAAATAGATTTTTTGCTTGAACCTTGAAGAAAATAGATTCATAGTAATCACACAAGTAGTTGTGTTATTATTGTTGTTAAACAATATTAATCTTAAGAGAGAGAAGCAACTTGTTCCAGCAAAGAAAAGGAGAATAATGTACTTAGTTTTCAGGACTGGACAGAGACATTTAACTTTTTTGCTTCTTTGGAAAATTGAGCTTTACATGCCTGTAGATGACGTTACAGTCTGTTAGAATTAACAGGGACTCGACCAAGAACCCCCAGTTAATCAAACTGCTTTGCTGTACTTTACCCTTAAGACAAAAAGAAATCTGTCAAAAGTAGGCCTATATCCAATATTTAATAAGAACAAATAAAGGCCCTTCCCCACCCCCGCACCGTGACTTTGAGGCTGTAACTCAAGTTTAAAACAAATGTGTCTCAGTTTCCTGTCGTTATTCACATCAGTAGTACCATGCAATTGTCATTGATACTCAGCTTGTTGACTGCAGAGAGTCACCATATCCTCTGGTCCTAAATCAAAGAGTTATTTATACTCAACATATTCTACAGTGCTTAGTAAAGGCTTAATACAGATGTCTTAGAATCTTCTTGGAGTTTTTATGAAAGTGTATTGTACCGTAGTCCAAACTGTCTCAGGCTTTTTTGCCTGTAGCTGTAGCTTTTATTGGTAATTATCACCTTATTTACACACGCCTCCTATTCTACTTCTGCTTTCCTTTGTCCTCTCCCTTGAGGAGAGATCCAATTCCCAATAACAGACAGTTTTAGGGGAGGCTTATTCACTGATTTCCTTTCTCATCCCAACTCCTAAGAACTCCTTTTTTCCATCACTGGATACTTGAAAGGGATCAGAACAGAAGTTTGTGACAAAGATGGCATCATGCCTGAGCTGCCCAGACTTCTCCTGCCCCTCATAACCCTTGAATTACAATGATAATAAAAGTGATGGTTCAAAACACTCCTTAAAACTTTATTCTCACATTTTAATGAGCAGCAAATTATTGTATATTGCATGTTCCATACGCCACTACTTGGCCAAAACACAGCCATAGAAGAGACCACATCTTAGTTTTTCAACAAGTATTTTAGACCAATGGTATGGTAGAGGCACTGATATGTTTTAGAAAATCCTCAAGACATTTGTGTCAGTGAGGTTCTGTTTATCAGTGTTCTAAGTTGTCTGAAAAGCTATGGTATTGCAAAAATAAGAACTTTTATAAAATCATGTAAAGGCATTTGTAGGGTATGTCACTTAAAAACCATAAACCTAGCCTTTGTAGGATTAATTAAAATAAAAACACTTGGAACCAAAGCCTTTAAAAGATAATGAAGATGAGAACTGTTGAGTTGGACAGATGTATTACCTTCATGGATTTTACACATACATCTATATGGTTACGTATGTATGTATTTTTTATTTTATTTTAGATTCTTTAAAATTATAAAATATTATGAATCTTTGTTGCCTGTGAAAACAGTAGTCTTTGAAGATTTTATTATATCATGCTGTTTTATAAATTAATCTATATAGACTAAATATTGGTGATTTTACTCAGTTCTGTTATTTTTACGTTGTATAATAATTCACCTTTTCATCTTTTAAAAAGGCCCAGAACATTTTCATGGTAGATTTTGATTTGTGTAGAGGCCACCTTTTAATGAGAGAAGAGCAGCTCATGAAGAAGTTAGTTTTTGCTACTTTTAACATTAAAATATTTATGACGGAAGACCCATTTGAAAGTGACTTTTTTTTCCTAACCCAGGAAGAGAATAATTTAAGATTATTATACTATGATATGCCCCACGGTCTACGTTTAAGTTGAGAAAATGTCAGTGATGGTGGCAAGAGGGAAATGTAAACTAAGGAATTGCAGAGTCGGGAAATGACTGTTCATTTAACAGAGGATGCAGTAGTTTGCAATTTAAACGGACTGGCAAGGAGAGTCTTACAGAATTATAAAGTAAAAGTTTGTTCCTGAATGTGAATGATGCTCCAATTTTAGATGTCTAAAATGAGTGGTTAAAGCAAATCAATTTCCACACAAAATAATTATATTTTATTATTCCTAAAATACCCAGTGATCAATTTTGGAAAAATGCACAGTTGTTTGATTTGTAAGAAGAAAATTTTTTAAAACAACACTCAAGTGAAATATCTCTGACATTGAGAGATGAACAAATCTTCTAGGAAGTTTGAAATAAGTCATTTTGACATTTACAGGGAAGTTGTTTTCACTTAAATATTATTAGATCTGTGAATTATATTGTAACACCTTGCAGATAGTCCTTTAGAGCTGGAAATTCTGATAGCTAAAGTTTGGGGGAAAAGACAGGAAAGTAAAAACTTTATTTCACTTTTTGTAAATGTGTCACTACCATTTGTAGTTCTATTTCATTAATGTTCAATAAAACCAGGTAAAAATAATAAAACAGCAGGTAATAATAAAACAGTATATTTTTGTTTTAAAGACAAAACTGATTTTACTGATGGTGGTTTCATATATATGAGGCATATTCTCTTCCTGTGTCCCTCCGTTTTCCCAAATGATCATTTGACTAATGGTATATAATAAACTTAAGAACATCATAAAGTTCATGCTAAGAAATTATGGATTTATTAAGCATGAAATGTAATATAGAAGGATGGATTTCATGAAGATTTTTACTTTTTTTCTAGATACAAAATCATTTAATGTTCAACTTGACTTTTATGTGTTCTCGAGCTTTTAGGATATTTAGTTTACTAAATGATTTGCTTTTGAATACAGTCAGCTCTCAGCAAACCAATTTTTGAATCATTTATGATTTATAGAACAATTTTAATCTTAGGCTAGATTTCCCTCTCTCACTGTGGTCATTTTGTTTGTGTCCTTTAGGAAGAGAGAACTAATTATAAGTTCTGTCCAAACAAACTAGCAACTCAAATGTGAATCTGATACACAGTAGAAAAAAAAGAAAAGACTAAACCAATAAAGCATTCTAAAATAAGATTATCAGTGAATTATCCGTTCTCCCATGTCATCAGAATGACTGAAAGTTGGCTGTATTTAGAGACAATGATTAAATACAGTGCTCTGTACTGACGGCCCTTAAAGTTTAAAGTGACCTTCTTTAAATATGTAAGGAGAACCCAGAAAAATAATTATAATAAAACAAGAAGTGAAAGATCCTGATGTTCTTCTGACGTAATTATTACTTTATCTTTCCTGGAAGCTAAGCGAAGCCAGTCTATCAGCAACTGTGTTCACCTTTCTGAGGCTTTGCCTGCCACTAAAAGCGTCCCGCTCCTCCTTCACACCGTGAGCGCTCTCTTCCCTGGTCTCTCTTACTCCTCTTGTTCTCACAGGCTGTCAGGTACTGTAATGCTGTCTCATTTGTCCCTCAATGTCCCTGGGCTTCTCATGCTTGCCTCTGGGCCTTGCTTCCTTTGTTAATGTGCCCACATCACGCATGCGTGCCTGGCCATTGCACTTTGCATTTATTTTCAGTGAATATTAATAATTGTTTTTTATGTAGTTAGATGTTTAACAGCAATTGAAGTGTCAAGAAAAATTTCTGTAACACGGCTGGTCTTTGCGTTCCCAGTTAAGAGAGCTAGAGGAGTTTTTGGCCCTTCGTTTATTTATTTATTTATTTATTTATTTATTTTATTAAGATTATGATAGATTACAACCTTGTGAGCTTTCAGTTGTACATTATTGTTAGTAATGTTGTGGGTACACCACTTCACCCTTTGTGCCCTCCCCCCAACCCCCCTTTTCCCTGGTAACCACCGATCGGTTCTCCATGTCTATATGTTAACTTCCACCTATAAGTGGGGTCATATAGAGTTCGTCTTTCTCTGTCTGTCTTATTTCGCTTAACATAATACCCTCAAGGTCCATCCATGTTGATGCGAATGGAACAATTTGGTCCTTTTTTATGGCTGAGTAGTATTCCATTGTGTATATATACCATATCTTCTTTATCCAGTCGTCATGGCCCTTCATTTTTAATAGGGGAAAACAGTGATGCCTGCCTCAGTGTGCCTTCTATGCAGTGTCTAGAATGGAAGGGAATTTTCATGAAGTTTTACACAAGTTTTGAGCATGTCAATGTTAGAATGCTTGCTGTGCCCCTCAAATGAATAAACTGGAAAAATTATGCAGGCAAGGCTGCCTTGGAGTTAATAAATCATAATGGTGTAAAAGTAATGATCAGTTTATGTAGATTCATACTGATTATTGAGATTTGAGTTAAAAATGCAAAAAAGTGCTAATTTTCAAAACAAAGAAACATTGTTTCTGGGCTTCAGCCACTTAAAATTGAGTTTAGCTACATGTGGTTTACACAGTACATTTCCTGGTTTATTAAGATATGATAGCACCAAAAGTGATTTTTGGCATAGAGACCTCAATAAAAGAATTTATTTTGCTCTACAGTGAATAATTAGGTCTATGTCTACTTATTTTTCAGTGATTCCAAGATGAGCTGAATCTTCTTACTAAAGAGGGAAATATTTTCATGTCTTTTTTATTTTCAGAAAGATGACATTATAGATTAGTATTTGTTTATTGTGGCTTTCTGTAGCACCATCATCATATTGTGGTTTAGCAAAGCCAAATTAAAGCTTAATTTTCCAGATAAGTATGTAAAATATCATATTATTGAACTTACAGAATATGGGGGAAGAAGTTAGTTTTATTGAGACTGAGGACTGTGTTTCTTAGAAAACTCATTTTCTCTACTCACTACCAAAGGTGGAAAATAATAGGAATGGTACATGGGAAGATGATCACCAGTCGGTTAAATTACTGGTGACCCTCAACTACTTGATAATTTGGTTTGCAAAAAAAAAAAAAAAAACTACTGTCTAGAGATGATTAATAAATTATTTAAAATAGTTTTACTTTCTATTTGGCTGATATATACCCAAAAGGAATTTTTTTTTCATGGTGAAAAGTTTTCTTTTTTCACAGTCCATTTTTTTCCCCATATTGTTTCATTTAAGTGTTTTACTAGTTTATCCAGAATGTGTTCTCACAAGAAATCTCCTCCTGTTAGTAATCTCATTTTGGAAACTTTTTTCTCATTCAATATTGTATTTTAGTTTACTCAGAGTCTTGATTCCCATATATATGTACACAGTTCCAAAGAAGTTGAATATGATTTAAAGCAGTGGTTCTCAACTGGGAATGAGTTTGCCCCCAAAGGAACATTTGGCAATGTCTAGAGACATTTTTGCTTTTCACAACTGGAGCAGGGCCACTGACACCAGTGGCTGGAAGCCAGGGATGCTGCTAAATATCCTACAATGCACAGGACAGCCCCCACCACAAAGAATTGTCTAACCCAACATATCAATAGTGCTGAGGTTGAGAGACCCTGATTTAGAGTGAAATGTAGCAGGCCATGCTGGGTCTGTGTTTTCCTGTCTTTGCCATCCCTATTCCTGGTTTTATAGTGCAAAGGATAAAGGGACTTGGTGGTATATGACTTTGAGAACAATCTGCTGTTCTATCTGTTTCCTCTGACAGCTACAGTAGCGAGCTCCTCCTTAGTCTGATGCCATTTGTTCTTTACTATTAAAAGGATGCCATTGTCATTTGTGCCTGTCCTATCAAGAGATTTGGCCAAGAGCAAAGCATATCAGTCCTCAGTTTTAGATGATAAATTCTTCACTGGTTGAGGCACTAGAGTATTAAATTTGTGCTCCAATTTAAATCCTAGAGTGTTGGCATACCTGGCTAACCTGTTGCTAAGTATGGGTATAGATGGGTGTACATCCACCTGTACGTAATAAGCAGACTCTTTTAATGTTGACTTTCTGGTTACAAGTTCTTTACTATAAAGATGATTGTAATTTTCTTTTCATTTGTTAACATTTCTTGTTTTTGTTTGTAATCTATATGACTAATCAACCAACCAAAATTGTTTTAATAATGTAAACAATAGAGAATTACTTACCTTCACCTGCTATCGTATGTTGTTCTGATCCCTTTGGGACTCTTCATTTGGTGGCAGCAGAATTTTGGGAAAGTCACACCACCTGTATTCCATTAATGGGAAGAGCTACATAAACATGCACATGGGAGGCAGAACTGGCACTTTCAGTGATTTCTCTTTTTCTCCTTTGTGAGAACAGTTCTTTACAGCTGTTTTGCAGTTTTAACTGCTTTTACCTTGGGACATTTATCAGTCTGTAGTGTTTACAGGCTATGCAGATGGTAGATTTTATTTTTCTTTTAGGAATATTGTAAAAGTAGTAATTAGAGGACCAGTGATCTTCTCTCTTCCTGCAAGAGACTTAATGGGACCTAACGGAAAGCCTCACTTAGCTTTCTCTGCCTCTCATTCTCCACCTTCCAGGCAGTTGCTGATTGTCAGGACCTGGCTGTTGTCAGGGTCTGGGCTGATTCACCTTTGGACCTGTGGGAAACCTTAAGATGTTGAGTTGATTTTCATCTCTGGCACTTTGTATAGGGTCAAGTTGGTGCCATGCACAATGCTTTAAAAGTTAGGAAATTATACTATTAACTTCGCTTGTGCAACCTTGTGTGAGGCGTAAATGAACCCAGAACTTTGGTAATTGAAGAGTGAGTCTCCCTCCATTTAGATTAAGGAAACCTTAGATTAAAGAGTGAAATTGCTTTGAAAAATAGTGAGACATATGGAATAAACAGAATTTTCTGAAGAGTTTACACACTTAATTTAATTTAATCATATGGATTCTTCTCTCAGTGGGGAAAAAATGAAATTGAGTAATCCTTATTTGATCATTTTTCTGGGGTTTTGAATGGAGCTTTAGAAAGCAATGATTTAGTAATGGTGTTGTGTAATTTATACTATCAAGAAGCTAGAAAGGTAGTGCTTTTAAAATTTGAATTATTGGGTTTGCTATGCTTGAGAGAAAGTGAATGATTTGATGAATCTGAGATAGAATTTAGCCCTCTGAAGTGATTCAAACAGAAATTGTATGATATTCAAAACAGAGAGTGCCTTAGACCTTCCAGAATTTATAATGTAATTTTTATATAACTTAGATTGTTGTTTTTCTGTTTTGAATATCAGATAATCCTGTATCTTAATATTTGCATAATATTGTTAAAATGGTTTTAATTTGTTATGAAAGAGTAATGGCTACAGCTGACACTGTAGGCTGGGAGCAGCTTTAACATTAATTGCTTTCTTAAGAAATAAAAAGCCAGCAGAGGGAGCTCAAGAACTGTTTAAAAAATAGGGAGACCGAAAAGAAAATGTTTTTGGTATTTGTTCATTTACACAAATCATATATTGAGTATATACTTAGTACAAAGTGTGAGAGAAGGCCAAGAAATGTACACTTACCAATCAGGAAATTGTGTTTAAATTGTGGGGTAAGGAGAATTTAAAATTCTTTTTTCACACTGTGTCACATAACAGTCAACTGCAGAAGAGGCTCAGGGCATTGGTAGCACAACAGCCCTAGCAGCACACTTGACACACTGACTCTCCCCTTCCTTTCTCCCCCTCATCATGGATCCTCCCGCTCTCACCACTTCCAGTGAGTTCTACAAGCTTGGACTTTCTCCATGTAAGTCCCTACCAACAGTTTTACAAAAACAAAGGCTTAGAGCTACGTCAGGCCAGCCTGTTGGGAAGGCAGACCAGCTGGTGGTGGCAGGCTCTTCGTCCGTCTGTTGTGTTGAGGGCCAGTGGGGACACTCGAATTTAGAAGCCATGATGCTGTGGCTGTATTGCATCCCGCCAGATGGCAATGTTCTTTATCTTTAAAAAGATGCTGCCAGTGTTGGCTCAGCTCTTATTTGTTTCTGCTCATAGCCCAGAAACCAATATCTAACGGTTTTTGGCATGAAGTTGAAGTGAATAAAGCCCACTCTTCCCACTGTCCATAAAAACTGACACTTGCCAATTATTTTCAGGGAATTAGGAAGCTCTTGGGCTCCCTCTACTGATCTTGGGTTAACAAGTAGGTTCATTAACAAATATAAAGTCTTCCCGGAAGGTTTCAGTGTTTTGCATAATTAGAATAACCAATGAAAGAAGACAGCCAAATGGGGCTGGCCCCATGATATTATCTGGCTTTTGTTGCCTCATGCTGAAGAGCCTAGAAGCAGACCTGTGAAAAGGGCCTAGTCTAAGCTCTGGAATGAGTGGATAGATCACAAATATGTACGTATGTCTTGTATTTCTCTGTGAGGAAATGAATGGTTCTTGGCTATTCATGAGACGAGAAGAACAAAGACTACCTGGGAAGGAGGGAGCTTTAGTGGCTCTGTCTGCTTTTGCTACCTGGGCCTGCCTTTGCTTTTATCCTAAGTTCAGCTTCCCGTCAGTATCTAAATTTAGATTATGGCCCCGTATTCTGAATTATAAGGGAAGGAACACACAGATTTCATAGTTCTGAGGTCTTGTAACTTGTATCAGTGTACTTGAAAATGGGGTTTTAATTTGGATGGTAAAAATAAAGCAGCAACCCTTTGTTGAAATCCTGTGTATTATACTTAGAATCTTCCTACGTACAACTTCTTGGTTAGGGTGAGCTAGCACTTTCACATGTAGCTTGGATTAAAGGGTTATACAGAGTGTGGCACATTGACAGCGAGTCTCATTGCAGGAATTGGGTGACACTGCGAGGTAAGATAATATAGGCTGAATTTTGATCACTCTCTTCTTAGAAGGAGTGAAACTTTAGCTAATTAAAATTTTTGGAAAATATGATGTTATAGTTATATGGATGTAAAGTTTCATGACTACATGAGTGAGTGTGGAGTCTGGTGAGGGATGCGGTGGTGGGGTTCACACATGGCAAGTCCTGTAGGAGGGGTGCCCAGGCAGCATGGGAGAGAGGGGAGAGGGAACAGATCTGAGGTTGGGATAGAGGAGTGAGCAGCAGGAGGGAGAGAGCAGCAGATGCCAAGTAGGCTAGGATTGCTGGAGACTGACGTGAGTGAGAGCTCCTTGTTGGGGGTCAGATCTGTGGGGTGAGGTCAAGGAGAGCGCTGCGTGCACTGTGAGGAGCACAGGCGACTGTACAGTGAAGGAGAGCCCCAGCAGGAGAGCAATGGCACAATAAGATCTTTATTTTAGAAGGACCTCTCTGGGACTACAGAGCATAGGGGGTGGCAAGAAAAGGGGGACAGTGACCAGTTAGGAGGCTATTATAATGACCTAGGCAAAAGATGATGCAACCCCAAAGCTGTGATTCTAGAGAGAGAGGGTGGGGTGATTCTTCCAGTGCCTTGGGTTGTCTTTGGAGATTAAAATGAACCGGGAAGTTTAGAAATGAGCTAGAAGGGGACTCATTCTCTAGGAGAATATGGTTGGTAATAATGCTGGCTGAGATTATCCAGTGGTCAGTACTCAGCTATGGTTTTCTATTTTATGACACATATGTATTGATTCTCTAAAAATACCAGTGAATCATTTTTGTACTTTAGTGACTAATTCAACATTGCATTTGGTGATATAAACCATTAAATAATTATAATATTGTATTTTGGACAGCTGTGTGTTTATCTGTTAAAAGGGATAATAGAGTTGAAATTCCCACTTCTTTTTCCTTAAGCATGTGTGTGCTACTTTTTCTCTCCTCAAATGTCAATTGCCTATTCATGTATCTCCTGATCTCTCTTTCCTTGGCCTGCCTGTCCTCAAAATTCCAAATGACTTGTACAGTTCTCGGGGCTTTTCTCTTCTTTTTTTCTTCACTTTGATTGAAAAATAAATGCTTTCTAGAACTTAAAAGGAAAATGTATTCTTGGAGTGGAATATTACTGTTAAAAAGTGTGGAAAACTTTATGATGTAAATGCAGAATATCTACCTGCATAATTTTTGTGGAAAAAAGTATCTAAAACTACATTTTTAGAATCAGTGGTTTTAAGTGGTGAAATTATTTTTAAAAATCTTGAGATTCATCCATGCTTGTTTTGTGTCCATACCCACAGAAGTGGAAGAGTGTCAGCAGTTGGAAAACGCACCCGCAGTTGAGTCTGGCCGCCTGGCGGCTGAGCAGCAGCAGCTTTTCCGGAGCAGCAGCTCGCCTGATGTCGCTGAGCCCCTTTGCTCAGACTCTTCTCAGGGTACGGAGGGGCTCCAGTCACCAACACAGTACTGTAGATTCTGACTGGGAAGAAGCTGCGTGCCATATTGCTTTCTACATTTCTTCCAACTCTATTTCAAGAAAATTTATTTTAGAAGTTGATTGCAAGCATAGATTTCTGACAATGAGATATTTTTACTATTTTACTATAACTATCTAAATTAGCTATACACATGTGCACGTTTTTCAAATGTGGCATGTTTGAGGACTAGAAAGAAGTTCACAGTGGCTAGAGTAGGTGGGAGGCAGAGAATGTTACACCACAAGGTCAGGGAGAGCAGCAAGTTAGCCAGAAGGCAGGGCGGCGGGATAAGGAGGATGTGGAGAAGGGTTGTGAGTAGGCATAAAAGTTATCAGTGAGAACAGAAAGCTGACCAGACTGAAAAAATTTATTCGCGGCTTGTAGACTCTGCTGAGGTTGAAAATTCCAAGTTGTAACAGCATTAATCTGCGTGGTTTCTCCAACAACTTTCAGCAACAACCGGGCATGGAAATCAAAGAGGCAGATGGTGAGACTTGTAAACAGTGAATAATGTATTTTACGATGAAAGCACATGTTTAAACTGTGTCTGGTGTCAATGAAGTTACTTAGTTTTAGTTTCATGAGTTAAGTAAGAAATAAACCAACCTTGTTTATCAACAGGTTATCTCATAGTTTTTAATGTCGAGATCATGCTACCTCATCAAATGAAAAGGGAAGGAGTCCCTCTTAGAAATCCTCTTGAAAGAAGAAAACACAGTAAAAAATAGTTTGAGAAATGTATTATCTGAAATATTTTCTCTTCCACAAAACGTTTTGTAAGGTTGTTGTGATTTTTCCCCCCTGAAATCTTTGATAGAATCCACCAGTTACCTGGAGTTTTCTTGTAGGACGATTTTAAAATATCATTCAAATTTAAAAATCATTTTAAGACTATTCAGATTTTCCTTTTCTTATTTTGATTTGGATAAGTTGTATTTTTCTAGGAATTTGTTCAGTTCATATATTTTTAAAAAATTTGTTGGCCCCAGATTATTCACAAAATCGTCTTACGATCTTTTTATGTTTGCAGGCTTTGTAGTAATAACTCCCTTTTTTATGACTGATGTTGGTTCCCTGTGCTCCCTCTCATCAGTCTTTATTCTCAGGCAATACTGAGCTGCCTTCCTGCTCTCTTCCTGTCAGCTCCCCTGGCAAAATCAGGCAGCTGTTCTCTGAGATCCCTTCCCCACAGCCCCCAGGACAGGTCTTGTTGCCCTCGCCTGTGCTGAGTGGACCCATTGGCTACAGTGAGTGGCATTCAGTCTGCCCTCTGAGGAGTTCTTTGAGGGTCAGAGGCTGGGGCTATAAAGTAGACTTAACCCACAGGCTACCAGTTTGTCGATCCCTGATTCCTGTGTTTACATGTCTTAGGATAGCTAAATTTAATAATTACCTATCTATAAAAACCTGTTTCCAATTTTGCCATCTGAAATATTCATTCTCTTGATTTTTTTTCCCCAAAGCTCTAGGTCAAAAAGTAGAAGATGCAGAGAATTTGAGTTCTTCAGAGCCTAAGCCTGTTCAAGAGGATAAAGGACATGTGAAGAAAGAACATGAAGGGGTAACAGTAAAATGTTTTCAAACTGCATCAGTTTGTCATTAAACATATAAATTAGTGGCACAATAAATAAATTCATTAGTGGCATTGATGCATTCTTTAAAAAACTTTTTCCGTTTAGGTGGGTTATAAGCCTAAATGGCCTTGAGATCTTTTAAAGTCATGCTTGCTTTCTGTGTAAACTTACAGTCCCATTGCAAAAATAGAAAAAATTAGCATGAAAATGGAATTTACCACCTGGTCTGTATATGACACCCTGTTTTTAAACAGGTATCCTTGCCTGTCAAGTGTATGTTCAGATTCCCTGTTCTCGACGTCGCTTTGGGTGGTAGCTACTGCCTCACAAGAGTTGCTAGATAAGTGAGTTTTTGCAAAGATCTGTCATGGGGTTCTTTTTTAAAAAAGTGTGAAATAGCATTTTTTGTTTTTTTAAAAAACAAATGTAAAGTATTAAGAAAATAATTTAAAAGTAGCTCATAACTCATTCATGCAGATAACTCCTATTTATTCAATTTTTAAAAGTGTAGTGTAAATAGAAAACTCAAGCATCACAGAAAGGTACAAAATAAACAGAGAAAGCCTCTCCCTATTCCTCCCTACCTGGAAGATAACCAGTGTTAAGTTTCTTCTGTCTTTATTTTTTAAAAGGACATTTACTAGCTTACATGTATTTATATTCTGTATGTATGTGTTTATTATTTGTATTTTTTTAGCAATCAAATAAACTCCCACAAACCCATCACCCAGCTTAAGAACTAGAATGTTTCCAGTGTTGTTGCTTTGGCCTGTAAGTGCCTTCCTTGTCCCCTCCGAGATCTGCATTATGTTGGCTTTGAGTTTCTCATATCCTTGCTTTGCTCTAGAGTTTTGTTCTATATGTGTATATTGCCTAACAATATATCCTTTTGTTTTCCTTATTTTTAAACTTTATAAAAGTGGTATTATTGCTTTGTTCATTCAGTTATGTGTTTCTAAGATTCATCCATGTTATGGCTTGTAGCCGTAGTTCATTAAGTTTTCTCTGCTGTATGATATTCCACTGTGAATATTCCACAATTTATTTTTCCATTCTCTTGTTGAGGGACATTTAGATTGTTTCAGGTTTTCTTTTTTTAATGGAAAATGCAGCTTCTATGTACATTCTTGTATATGTTTTGTTTTAGGTTTTCTCTATGGTGGCTGTCTAAGAGTGGAATTAATGAGTCATAGAGTAGAAGATTGTTCTTCTTTACAGGACAATGTGTGTTTTCCAAGGTGGTTGCACCACTTGTATTTCTGCTAGCGGCGTACAAAGAGTTCCCATTCATCCACGTTCTTGCCAACACTTTCTATTGTCAGATTTAAAAATTCTTATGAGTCAAGTGGATGAAAATGGGATTCCATTTTATTTTGCATTTCTCAGGTCTCTAGTATAGTTTAAAATCTTTCCATGCTGATTGACCATGTGTGTTTCATGTGTGTCTGATGTCTTTGCAATTTTCCTATTGATTTGTTTGTCTTTTCTCTTTTGTTTGTGTCAATTCTTTATATAGTCTGAATACAGACCTATTTTGGTTATGTTTCTGGCAATTATTTTCTTCTAAGGTGTGCCTTATATTTTCACTTTCTCTGCGGTGTCTTTTGATGACAGAGGTTCTTAATTTTGATATTCTTGATTATCAGTCATTTTTTATGGTTAGGTTTTATGAAAATTTTAAAATGCCAATTCTACAGGGATAAAAATATTACCTTATAAGTGTTTCAGTTTTGTTCTGCACATTTAAGTCTTTCATCTGTCTGGAATTGATTCTTACTTACAGAGTGAGTTAGGGATCCAGTTTTATTTTTTTCCCCACGTGGATAACCACTTGTCCTAGGTCACATTGTATCTATTTTTCCTTCATTGATCTGAAATGCTACCTTTCTGTCATATATACTGTTTTGCCAATGCGTAAGGCTTTATTTTGTGCTTCTTATCTTGATTCATTGGTTACTTTGTCTCTCTGGACAGTATACCATCTTAATTACAGTAGTTTCCCCGCTTCTTTCCCCCTTAACTTCTCCCTTCTAAGGGAAGCTATTTTTCTGCTATCTTTTGTCTTTCATGGTTGCTATTGAGAAATGGTTTTTCCATCCTATTTGTTGTTCCTTGCTGTTGTCTTTGTCTTTCAGTTTCACTACAGTATATTTAGGTGCATTTTCCTTTGGTTTATACGTTTGTCCTTTTTTGTATATGCTGTGTGACATGTATTTGTGAATGCTTGTTCTTCTCTTGTTTCTGGAAAATTTTTTGTAATAATTTCTTAAAATATTTCCTCTTTTTTGTTCTCTCTGCTCTTTCCTTCTGTGATTCTGGTTAGAAATATATTTAGACTTTCTCATTCTGTCTTCCATGTCTCTTAAGCCCTCTTTCATATTTCCCATTCTCCTTGTCCCTCTGGGTACATAGATAATTCGTCAGATGGGTCTTTCATTCAGTTCAATATTTTTCTCTTTAGTCATAGATGATCTACTGTTTAATACTTCTACTGAGTTTTTTAGTTCAACAATTAAACGTTTTGCTTCTGAAAGTTCAGGTTAATTCTCTTCAAGTATATCTTGTAATTTCTAATAATCTCTTGTTGCTTGCCCATTTTTGTAATTCCTTTCTTTTATTCTTTTAAAATAGTCACAATTTGCAATTCTCAATTCTTTATCTGATTATCTGAAATTCTTGGGGGGGGGTGGTTCTAAATGTGGTATTTGTTGTTTCTGCAACTCTTATGTATGCTGATTTATTTCCTTTGGTGTTTGGTGATCTTTGATTGTGAGTTCCTAGCTGGCTGATCTCAATCTACAGTACCCTGGATATCTGAAGTGATGGAGTTTCACCAGGACAGGATTTGCATTTGTTTCTTCTGGGAACCGTGGAGTGCTACTTTAATCCTGGGGTCCTTTTGCCTCTGGCAGTGATAATATTAGATTTACCCTTACAATAGCCCTGGTTTCTGTTCACTTTTGGGGACAGAGGAGAGTGTGGATCACTTGGAGGTTTATTTTACTTCCTGTGAGCCTCAAATTTTTGTGTAAGATCTAATTGTATAGCTGGAGGATATTTTGTCTCTCATATAGTCAGAAGCAGAACCCTGCTTTTCTATTAAGGAAATATCCTGGGTATATTAGCATTATCATGTTAGATATATCATCCTTCTTTAAGGCTGAGTAATATTTTTTCATATACTGTTAGTCTTCTAAATATTTTATTCATCACCTACTTCTGTGTTTTAGCTTAATAATTATTCTATCTTTTATTATACAGTTTGGTCCCCCCTGTTCATTTGCTTGTTTAATGTTCATCCCTTTAGTTGGTTCATTGAATCCCAGGGTTTTTATGCACTCTGCACTGGAGGACCTTAAATTTACACCTTCATTCCTGCCTTTATCCTGTTGTCGCCAGTTCTGGATTTTTGTCCTCCGCTTATAGGACATTCTCTTTGGATATTCAGCCCAAAGACGAAAAGTAAAATTTCAGAAACTTTCTTAAGTTCCTTTGTCCGTTGACCTTCCTTCCATCCTTCCTTCCTTCATCACCCTCATTCTCATGGTCCCCTAGATTCATATCATTTTGTGATTTAATTTTCTTCCACTCTCATTTACAGCTCTTATATAAGCTCTCATATAAGCTCTTGTCTGTCCTTCTGCAGCATTTTCTTATCTCTTATTCTCCTTTTCCACCATCAAAAGCGTTGTCCACTCATCCCTGAATCACCATGACAGTTCCATAGCAATTTTCTTCTTAACTCTAATCTGTCCCACAGATAACTGACTAGACTTATCTTTCTAGTTATATTTTTTAATCACAGTAAGCTATTATCTGGAACATACGGTTGCTCATTTTGTCAATATTGGGTGGAAATTCCTAAGCCTGATGCTGAAGGCCCACTGGCAGCTGCCTCTTTTGGAAGGTGGTTGACATTTTCTTCTTATCATTTTCCCTCTTTACCTGACTATCCTGCATGGCCTGCTATAATCAGCTTCTTTTCCTGCACATAGAACTTGCTGATTACCACTCAGTGCTTCCTGCCTTGAATCCCTCCTGCCTTCTCTCTACCACTTCATGTCTTGCCTTCTTGAACAGCTCTCCTGTAACTGTGAGCCAATTAAGGTAACGCTTTATTCTGCATACCTATAGAGAGAGTTTACGTGCATATTTTGCTTATGTACGTTGTAATCATTTTGTGTAATTTGTGTATGTTTTGTCTCTCCAAGCAAGTTATACATTGTAGAGGATGCAGATTGCCTCCAAGTTTTTCATTCACTGTGTTTAACACAAGGTCCAGTGTTGAGCACTGTTCAGGAAAGTCTGTTGCACATTTAACAAGGAAGGCCCTGAGTGACCTTTAGAAGTCTAGGTGGAGTTTATACCTTCCCTGCCAGCACACTCACCATTTATGAGTAATTTAGGCCTTCTCGAGACCTGTATTCACTATATACCTGTGCTTAAGCAGAATAAGGAATAGAACTTTAAAATAAAGTATTTCCGTATAATTTGGCATCCTTTCTCAGTAGACCAATTCAATTGGATGTCATTTAAGAATGCAGAAGCCATAAATTTCAGATCTTGAGTAATTTATGATTCAATTATAGTAATTTGTGAACACGTATCCTTCAAATGGAAAACATCATTCGATTTTTTGTTACTGTTTTTCTATTTATTTAGAAATGTGAACTAGAAACTGAACAATATTTTAAAAATTAAAACTTTCCTGTAGCAAATGCAATATTTGTTTTTGTCTGAAGATCTTAGTTCGAAGAAGCAGCAGCCCTGCTGAATTGGATTTAAAAGATGATTTGCAACAGACGCAAGGAAAATGTAGAGAAAGACAGAAGAGTAAGTTCCAGGAAATGTGGTCTGTGTTCATCCAGCTTCAGAGCTCCTGTATTTTGTTTTCTTTTTACTTTCTAACTTGAATGATATCTTAGTATCTGAAGAGACATGGTTGTGAAATGCGACATTTTTATTCCTGAAATCCCAGGATTGATGGACGGTTAGCCTACACATAGAATAGAACAGTTCCAGTCACTCACCTGTACATTAAAGGCCTGTCTTTCCACCCCTGGGCCTTTCTCTAGGTGAGAGGCACAACCAAAGTTGATGGCTGGGTGAGGAGACCGACCCAGAAGGAAAATGATCTTCCCTAGAAAGTTCCCATAGACTAGCAGCAAAAAGCCTCAGAAGTACGTTGAAGTCAGTAGTATAAGTATTTAAAAAATAAAATTTGATTGGAATCCTGTGACGTGTTATCATATATACTGTAAAATGTAGCCCTAATACTCTACTTCCCTGAAGTAGGTGCCCGGCCACCTCCTTCTCGGAGTAGCATAGTAAACACCCCTGCAGATCTAGGATGGTTCTGCATGGAGTGCAGAGGAGCTCCTCTTAGGCTCCACCTTCAGCCCCTGTTGGCTTAGAGTTCTGTGCCAGATGAAGTTAGAGACCTTACAGGTTGGTTACTAGAACAACTTTCAGTTTATCTGCTAACTGGGACAACTTTTAGTCCTTTGCAAGGGAAGAGAGGACAGGAGACTAGAAGCAGCAAGGCTGGCGACTGTCACCAGCAGATAGAAAGAGCAGCTGGGGGGCTAGCCCCATGGCCAAGTGGTTAACTTCGTACTCTTCACTTCGGTGGCTCAGGGTTTGACCAGTTCAAATCCTGGGTGTGGACATGGCACCACTCATCAGGCCATGCTGAGGTGGCGTCCCACATGCCACAACTGGAAGAACCCACAACTAAAATTTGCAACTATGTACTGGGAATTTGGGGAGAAGAAGCAGAAAAAAAAAAAAGAAGAAGATTGGCAACAGTTGTTAGCTCAGGTGACAATCTTAAAAAAAAAAAAAAAGCAGCTGGAACAGTGAGCACACAGAAAGGGGAGACACGTGGAATTGTTATGAAGTAGATAGAAGACTTTGAGGAGTAGACTGGCTCGGTCTGTTTTGTTGTCAGACTAAATAGCCCTAAAAGACTGAATCGTCTTTGAAAGCATCATTGTATTATGACAAATTAGAACTTTTTAGTGTTTAAAGGGGAGAATTTCTGTTGGAGAAAATCTTCTGCGTGGGCCACTTCATCTGCCAGTGATCCTGAATGATTGACCCTGGGTTTAGGTCTAGACATTGAGGTCAAGGAATAAAACATCTTGAGGCTCTTCTGGCCAGCAGAATAAACTTGCATTTGTGGTGGAATAAATTCCCACCCTCTTCCTTCACCCATCCTCATTTTGTGGTTGAATAAGTGGCAGGAGAAAACTTAACGACTTGATGTGATCTTTTGGGTACATGGGATAACTGAGCTGAAGACCCCTTGAAAAGAATGCCTCCTGAGTGATATGTAGTGGAGCTCATGACTACTATTAATGCCCTGCACTTGAAAGCTTTGTTTCATTGACCAGGAACCCCAGACAGGCACCTTTTGAGCCCCTATTCCTGAATGACTCCTGCTGTGTCAGCTGTTTGGTTACTGTGTATTGGTAATTGTGAACATTCTGATTCCCAGCTATTAGTTATCTCAGACTTTGGTTCTTCCATTGTGCCAGGTGAAAGTGTCAGCAGTGACACAGCTCTGGGCTATAACGGTGAGGCCGAGCTGTCCATGAGCCCATGGCAGACCTATGAGGAAGACCCAGAACTGAACACTCCTACAGATGTTGTGGCAGACTCCGATGCCCGCCATTGGTTACAACTGAGTCCCACCGATGTTTCAAACTTAACAGGTAACTGTGTCTTTGAAAAGTAGGCACCAGTATTAACCACTAGGAGATCCCAGAGTTTCCTAGTTGCAAGAACTTCAGGGTTCCTTTAGCACAATGGTGATGGAGGTGCCGCCTCCAACCAAACTGGCATGGCAGCCCCAGCCACTTGTTCATAATTAGTTCTTAATTCCCAGAGTCCTTTTTGGAAAGGGTTCTAAAACAGTGGCTGGATGTGGGCAGAAGTGTGCCATGCCGACAACCACTGTCCATCATGGGAGGAAGTGCTGATATTCGCGCCAAGCTTTTGCTGTCCCTGACCAAATTTGCTTTACTCTGGAAACACAGAAGAGTGGTTTATCCAACCTACGTGTGCCATAAATCCAGGATAAGTTAAAGAGTTTGAATAGCTTATTGATTAATATTTTCTTTAATTTTTACTGTAAAATATTTGATACATACAAGATAAGTTGCGACATATACATAAGTTATGGGCCATTATAATAAAATGAGCATCAGTGAGCCTACTACCCACCTTAAGAAATAAAACACCTCCCAAACCAGTAAGGTTCTTGAAAGCCCCTTCTCAAGTTCCTTTCCTTTTCCTATCATTCTGTGACCTTATGCCCAATTTTTTAATATAATAATTCTCTTGATTTCTCTATAGTTTTACCATATATATCTGATCCTCAATAATATATCTTTTAATTTTGGTCTTAAACTTTTGAAAAATGGTGTCATATTTTGTAATTTTTGCAACTTTCCCCCCCTGAGTATTGTATTTCTGAGATGCATGAATGGACTACAGAACCAAAGTTTCTGGGTCTCTATCTGGGCTCTGCCAAGGAATTGCTGGGTGACCTTGAGCAAGTTAATCTCTCTCTCTTTCTATTTCTTTTTTGGAAAATGGGAATACTAATAGTCTCTGTTATAGGGTTGCTGGGGGAATAATGAGTGAACACATGAGTCAAGTGCACTGAACAGTGTGTGTGTAGGAAGTGCTCTGCAGTTTTAGCTGTTCACATGCGCACACATGCACGTGCACATTGACTGTGGGTAAGTGAACCTCTCAAAGCTCAGCTCCTTCACCTGTATGACAGGGCTGATGAGAAGGGCGACACCAAAGACAGGTGGTTTTTTATTTTGATAGTTGTCGAGAGAGACTAGTGTTCTGAAGAACTCAGTGTGGGAAATGCTGACCATAGCCAAGTCCTTCCTGGTCCACCATATCCATGCTTACATACAATATCTTTTATGAAAACAACAAATTAGCCCATGTTGAGTAAAAAGTGTTATTAAAATGCTAAAAGTTAAAATTATAAATAAAGGCTAAAAATTTTACCTTAGTTCATTGTAACTAAGCAAACTTTGGTTTCTATTAATTATGATATAAAATTTAACCAGTCTTTGATGTTTTTGGAAATCCCTGATGGAGTAACATTAAAACTTCATAAAATTTACATAGAAAAATGGTATTAGATAAAATCTTTTATGTATGAGATAGTTAAGACCAAGAAGCATGATCTTAATGTGTGTTTAATGTGTGCATTTTAATTAATTAAGAGTAGAATAATAAACAAAGAAAAACAAACCAGTCAGCTGTATGTGAGTAATGTATTATTGCCTTTGTAGTGCTGTCTTTAAAAGACAATGGACATTTTTTGGTCTATGTATTCAAATCTGCCCATGGTAGAAACCTTGCAAAGTCAATGAGGAAATGATTAACAAAATCGTGTGCTTAGTTTGATAAATTATTGGGTAGCAATTTATGCTTCTCAAATTTTTGGTTCTTTTAAAAATGATTTAAAATTCTTTATATATATAATGATGTGTAGATACATATAATGATTTTGAATAATAATACTATAATTTATAAGAGATTTAATAGTTTACAAAGAACTCTAAGGCATCCTCTTTGATTCTGTATGGTAAACAGGCCAAGTCTTACAAATTCTGTTTTAAAGATAGAGAAACTAAGACCCAGAGAAATCATATGGTCTAACTAGAAAGTAAGTGCCAGAGTTGGAACTGGCTTCCACAGTGTGTTGACTCCAATTTCAGTGTTATGTCTACTCCTTTCTACTACGTTGCTGTTAAAATTACAACTGCAGACCCCTTTAAACTATTTGAGAATCATTAATACATTTATGGAATTAACGGCTTCTTTGGGTCCAATATACAGATTATCCAAGGGGAATCCTCATCATGGTACTATCAAAGGCAATACTGAATTTTTAGTAAGCTGAATTTACTTAAACAAGAACTAGTTTTAATTATTTTTATTGAAAAGAAAAAAAAATTGGGTGATTACTTCTTTTGTCTGTCCTTTGGGAAGATTAGTTTTGATCCCATTTCAGAGTATGCATGGGACAGCTCAATTTAATAAACTTGTGTGAGGTAATTTTATATGATGCACTCTATAGTGTGATTAATTCCTCCAAATACTTAGTTCTTCTTTGAAATACTAGTATAGAGAATCAGTACGCTCAGTTCAATAGTTCATCTTGTCATCTGTGAAAAGGACAAACCGTAATATGATAAGGTTTAAGGATTATCACAGTTCTGAATTTAACTTTCTGTTCTTAAGAGAACAATTTCTTCGTAAACGTACAAAATAAAACTTGTGTGAGCCTAATCTTTAGGACATGCAAAGAGACTGATCAAACAATTTGAGTGTATCTCTTGTTTCTCATTGAATAATCCTGCCAGTTATCAAATGCTTAGAATAATAAACTGCTTGTAAAATCTTAAATTCCTTCATCACTAGCAAACTAACAGTTTAGTTTTATATTTGCTTTCTCATTTAAATCACTTCACATTTGCTGAAAATAGCAGCTAAATTTATTGCACATTATTTCAAAATGTACCTGGGATTTGTCTTAATCAGGTATGGCAAGACATGCAGACATGAAAATGATTGTCATGAAGGAAGAAGTTTATACTCACAGGTCCCTAGAAACAGAGGCATAGCATGCCGTGCAGGGAGACCACATGGGGAAACACCAAGGCTGGTCAGGAGGCAGAAGGAGAGAGGGGAAAACATGGGGAACAACGTTTATTGTCATTTCCCTGGGAAAGACAAGGCAGAGCAGGCTAAGCAGATTTAGGATTGGCTAGTTTGAATAATTTCAGCAGACTCTGGAGCCTATATAGATGCTATCCCTGGTTGCCTGGTACCAGACCCTGGGGTTATTAGGGCTGGGGGGTTGGGGAGGATGTTGGTTTGCTGAGTAGGCACTAGATAAAGGAGGTAGTTGGGAGGTAAGATTGTGGATTGCTGGGTTTACATATGAAAGGCACACTTCCCGGTGAGTTGTTTGCTATCTTTAGAAATTAGCTAACCCTGGGAAGGGCAGTCCTTTTATTGTCAAGGAGGCCCCAGATGCAAGAGCATCAATATAGAAAATAAGAAAATATAGTTAATACATACATAAATTTTGTTCTGTTGAGGTAATGATTTTGGAGAAGGGAATATTTATGACTCTATACCTAAGAATCAGGATTGCTGTTGACCTTATCTCTTATTTAGCAAATAAGCTTACAATCTAGAATACTGATTTTGTTGCTGTAAGAAATAAAAAGATGAATAAACCATAGCCACGATTGACTTAAGAGCTTAGTAAGAGGGCAGAAGATAAGACATTTATGCTGATAGCCACAAATAATGTGATAAATGCTATGTGGTTTATTTAAAGAAAGTTTTAACCACAGGGACAGACAAATAGACTAAAGGAACGGAGTAGAAAATAGATACTGAATCCACACAGGCTTGGAGTTGTGATAGATGAAAGGTGGCACTCCAGATCTGACAAGGAGAGAAAGTGCTGTTCAACAGATGCCAATGGGACAAGTATTTAGCCATATGGAAAAAAATGAAATAGAATCCCTACCTCACTCCATGCCCACAGTCAATTCCAGATGGATAAAATCCTTCAATAAGAAAAGGAAAATTTAAAAACTTTTGGAAGAAAATATCTTCTAAAAATATGTTTAAGACCTTGGATTAGTGAAAGTTTTCTTAAATGAGACTCACACACACACAAAGCTACCCATAAGAAAGGTATCAATCATTAATTCAACTTCAGTATAATTAAAGCTTTCTTTTCATTATCAAAGAAATCTTTAATAATTCCATGGGTTAAGGGCCAGCCCGGTGGCATAGTGGTTGGGTTCGCGTGCTCTGCTTCGGCGGCCCGGGGTTCACAGGTTTGGATCCTGGGCATGGACCTGGCATTGCTTGTCAAGCCATGCTGTGGGAGCATCCCCCATAAAATAGAGGAAGATTGGCTCAGATATTAGCTCAGTGACAATCCTCCTCAAACAAAAAGAGGAAGATTGGCAACAGATGTTAGCTCAGGGCCAAACTTCCTCAGGAAAAAAAAAAAAGAATTCCACGGGTTAGCAGAACCCTGAAGGGTAAAAGCCAGTTTTGGTGTTCTTTCCTTTCCAGATTCCTTTCAGATCAGTGATACATTTTAAGATAAGATTCAGTAAGAAATAGTATCCACCATTTTGGTTTAGTTAGGAGAGGGTCAGTGGTTTCCCACCACTGGAATATAAGCTTGTGGGGTGGGAGGTTGTCGTCAGTCGTGTTCCTAGCTGATTCTTGGCTCCTAGAATGGTGTGTGCATGGCCAGAGAAGAACATTCAGTAAATACCCAAATCAATGAATGAGTAAGCTTTAAGCTGTAGGCTATTGTTTTATTTAGCTAAAAACAGCAATTAAATTTTAACCTTTTTTTAGTAAAAAATACATAAGATTCAGTTTTAAAATCTCTTTAGTATGTTTGTCACAGCCCTGCCTCCAAAGATTGTTACAGAAATCCTTTTACCACTTCTGCTTTTAATTGTAGCTGTGCGCATGAGTTGCATTCACTGTTACCTGCCACCAAAATGGTTTTTGCAGGAGTGGTTTGTCAGTGTTCTCTGCCACTGTACACATTTTTGGCGTTTTCACCAGGCTTTGAAGGCTTTTGTCTGCTTTGAAGACATGAATATTATAAAGAAAAATAACAGTAATAACT